CCCCAAAACCCCAAAACCCCAAAACCCCAAAACCCCGCAAAGTTAGAATTGATTAAATAAATTATAAGTTGAAATCAAATAATAACGATAAGATCATTTATAAATATTCTATTATGATTATCAATAAATATGCCAGTTCATTTCCTAGCAATTCTGAGATTCTTTCTGATTGAGTTGAACACCTAGGAAGTTTCCTCATCCATTAATTTGGAATAGAATCCTTATCCTGGCTTCTCAATTTCAAACTCATGCTTTGATAGTGCTTCTTTGTGTTTAATACACCATTCTTGTTAAGTTTTGTTGGAATTAAGAAAAGAGTGAGATTTTTTCAAATCATCCTCGGTTAGCTTGCCAAAATCGAAGAATTCAGTGTTTAAATTATAGTGTTTTACTGCTGATTTTTCATCTATTGAGAGATTCTCATAGCCAAAATAGATAAGTTACTCTTTGCACAAATTCTTGATATAAGCAAGTTGAGAATCATTATAGAGATGAAGATTTTGATTGATTGTGCCAGATCTTGGTTTGTAAAGCACATTAGAAGAAGAGCCTTGTCCGATTACTTGCCTAAGTCTATGATCAAGATAGGTACCATCTATATCATTCACACCAAGGACAAATTAGAATACCTCTTTAGTAATCTAATAAGGATTTGTGATGAGATCTTCAAATCTGAAAAAGTAGACTGGAATGATATCCTAGATCTCCTTATTATCCTTGTCTGATTTGTAGTAATTAGCACCAGCTTAAGCCATCTTCATCCAGTAGTCATTGAACTCAAACCATGTCTTAATGTCTGAATGAATAAACCAATCCCATTCGTTCTTTAATTCAGTAAGAAAGTCATTCTCAATGTTCTTATTGTGAGTGAGAGTCAAATGGAGATTAAGCTATGAAACAATGATATCTAGAGGATTTCTAACACATACAATAGCTTTATTTACGTTAATAGAACTAGGAGTTCTAAATTACACAGGAAAATGAGATTTCACAAACCAAGTCTTTTCATCTTTGTGATGACCCTCTCCCTTAAAGCCAAGAGCTGCTAAGGCAAAATCGACTATGATTTGATTAGAATATGGTGTTCCAGTTGCAACCCCAGTGATGCACTCCAAATACTTTCTGAAGAATGTACTTCCTGATCTCATAAAAGATGAGTAGATTACTTTTGGAACTTTGCAAAGTTCATCTAAGAATCCACATCCATTTTTATTGATGTAATCTTCGAAAGCTTTGATTTCATATGAATTGATTTGATTCTTTTTTGTTAAAAAGATATCAAGGATAGTCTTATAATTTAAGGTAGGAGCAGACTTCCTTTAGAAAACATTGATATCATTTAGCATGTACCCCTTAAAAGTTGATCTCATTAAGTCTGACCATCTTCTGTACCCTTCAAGCTTCTTTGCAGAGAATTAGGTGACATCCTCTGAGAAAAAGATTTCATCATTCTTAATTAGATCAATAAGGTGAGCATCAATGTGAATTTCAATGTCAATGTATTAAGCGGGCAGGTCTTAGGTTTCAATCTCTCTATAGAAATCAAGATAATAAGCACCTTCTTTGTTTCCCCTGATACTTTGTGCTTTGATAATTGAGGCAAGAATGACACTTTTCATTTATGGACAAATCTCTTAAGTTTAAACTTCCATCTCTGATCGATCTAAGTTGGCTTGTCTTGTTTGAAAATATATTATAAATCTCTAAAAGCTATACTTCCTTATATATTAGTTTTTAGTAATTACAAACGTTTTTAAGATCGAAAACTTTGATATAAGATTAATGATCAAATTTTAAATATTAAAATTCTATAATACCATATTAATTTTGGCCAGAAAATTGCTCAAAGGGGTTTTGGGGTTTTGGGGTTTTGGGG